GGCCTGCTCTATTCGAATGGTCTGGCTTTTAATGATGAAGAATGGCACAATTTGGGTGGCCTGGATGTGGAGATACATGGTCAAACAGGGTAGTGTTTGGACTATGAGTGTGAGTCCAAGTAGTTCGTGGGCATGGAGAAGGGTCCTCAAACTCAGACCACTGCTTCAGGCTCATTTGACAATGTCTGGTGATACTCCTAGTTGGGATGGTAAGTTGATGCCTGTATATAAAGTGTCCACTGTGTGGAATTCTTTGAGAACTGAATATCAAAGGGTGGAATGGGCAAAACTGGTATGGGGAAAAAAGCATCTACCTAACAATAGTCTACTTGCGTGGCTTGTCTTATTGGATGGTATCATTACTAGGGACAAGCTGTTAAGATGGGGCAAGACAATGGATGGTTCCTGTTTGCTTTGCAGGGGCTCGGTTGAAACTAGAAAGCATCTGTTCTTTCAGTGTGCTTATTCTATGCAGGTTGTTTCATGCTGGAGAGAGGATCATTTGTTATGTAGACCAAGTTGGCAGGGAAGTGTGCAGGCTGCTGTTGCTCTGAACAAGAAGGGGACTTCGGCAGGGAGGCTTGCAAGGATTTTCTGGTGTGCTTGCATTGCTTACCTGTGGCGTAAGAGGTGCAGCAGACAACACCAACTGCCTCCCAGGGATGCTGATGTTCTTGGTAGACTGATAGTTTCGGACTTATTGTATCTGGGTAGTGTGGATAGTGATTTACAGGCAGACTTAATTGCTGCTGGGTTTTTATAAGTTGAGTGGGGGGGTTCTGTGTAGTCAGGTGGGAGTTCTTTGAGGGTTTGTTTTTCTGCAGGGTTACTCACATCGAGTGACCCTTTTCGTTGTATCAGACTCTATATGTACATTGCATATAGTTTTGGTAATACAATTGCAACTGATTCAACGAAAAAAATGTATTAATTAATTAATGAGTTAATAATGATATTAATTCTTCCGCACGTACAATATTAGGAAAACTATTTTGCCGATGAGTTCAACGGGATGAAGGGAAAGAGAATTACCGAGCCATAATTTGGTTATTTTTTTCTTTTCAAATTTTTTTAATAGGAAAAATATTTGAGAAGATCCCCATCATTGCCCTTTTGGCCAAATCAGTTCCGCTTTTTCAAAATTTGCTCAAACAGCCTATTTTGTTCTCATACGATTTTAATCCCGATTTTAGTAGGATTTTACGATTTTAACGATTTTAATCCCGATTTTAAATGATTTTAAGGTCCACCGATTTTATAGTAAAATCAGGATCGGAATCCCTAAGTAAAATCCTACGATTTTACGATCAAAATCCCGATTTTGACTGCTTTGGTTATCTCCAATATACTAATAGACTCAATCAAAGTAATAAGACACAAAATTAGACACTTCTTGTCTAACAGTTCCAGTAGGTTGAATAAAGAACCGACCTACTTCAATAAATCAATCAATGATTCCTCGTTTTAAGATAGAAATAGATTGTGATAGATGTAAAAACCATAAATATAAAGATCCAATAGCCACCACTCTTCATTGTACAACCAAACTTTTATCTCAATAGACATATGTTTAAACCTCTAATCCTACTTCTGCAACTCCATTATTTATTAAACTCTTTTACGTGCCCAATTTAAATTCCCAACAATAAAACCGACGTGCCAAGAGATACCGGATGATTGATTTTCAAAGGCAGTCTTGTACTGGGAAGTGAAAGGGGTGCAAACTATTGTACGATGGAGGAAATTTTCGAGGAAGTTAGAAAGAGATAAGAACAAAGATAAAAACCACAAAATTTAAATTGAAAAATGCAAGGACACAACAGGTAGTGACAAAATTAGTTTTTTCCATGTTGAAACTCTATAATGAAAATTGAAGTATCAAGCACCATAAAAATATATATGTTATACTTAGTGGACTTGCTTATCATGATGGAAAGTTCTGCTATTTTCAGAGAGTTGAACTTCGTGTATATTTTGTATTAAAAAAGACACAATATATTTGTTTAGTGTAAATGGTTGTGATTGTTGTCTTTGTTTATCGAGACCGGGTTCAAATCCTAATTTTGATATTTTTTTATGTGAGATAAATAATTTCTTGTAAAGACAAAAATGTCTTTCCTACTTTTACTCTCGTTGTAGGAAATTTGAAATGGAGAAAAGTACACAAAAGTGTACTATATATTATTAGGGGATTTGGGTAGATTAACTGGCACTGAGTGTTTTGAATTACTTGCCATTAAAATTGGGCTAATAACATATCAAGATGACTGATATCTAACATCATAGCGTTTTTGCCTATGTTTGGCCCGGCTTTTAGAAGTGCTTTTCGGCTTCAAAAGCTGAAGCAGGGCCAAACACCTCTAAAAGCTCGGCTTTTGAAAAGCCGAAAAGCGCTTTTGTATAACATAAAAGCAGAAGCTCCAATTTGGAACTTCTGGGAAAAGCTGTTTTGAAAATACAAGATTATCCTTACCATATTTTAATTTTATTTCAGAAAATATAATTTTCCTTCATTTATATCATTTTAAAAATAAAATAAATTATAAAATCATATTATTTAATATAAAAGAAATTTAACAAGATCCATTTTGACTACTTTTTATTGTTTAGAATTTTTATTTTTATTTCATATTATAATTCTTATAGTCATTTTACACAACCACTCATATTAAAAAGCACTTCTAATAGTTTTACAGCCAAACACTAAACTGCTTTTTTTGAAAAGTACTTATCTAAAAGCTACAGCAAGAAGCTGCTTCTACAAAAGCTACAGCAAGACCAAACTAAGCTTTTATATAGGACTTTTCATTATAGTTTGGGTGCAACGGTGTAATTGTCACAACAAGATACGTTCAATTTTGTTTTGTGTCAATACCGCATTGACTTAGTACATTTACTTGAACGAAATGAGCATATTGATTTTCAGAAATTTGGGAAATAGTGCATACTGGTTTATTTATAAAATTAGTCTTGTGACTGTTGGTTGTTTACATAAATTACATGATTGTAATGTACAAAAGCTAACTGAACGAAGTAAGGCATGGGTAGAATGGGGTTCACGATAGCGTATGCAAATGGGGTTCAGGAAAGCGTAACTTCGTGTACGCTTAGGTGCGTCTAGGCAGCCACAAAACGCTTTGCCTAGGCCCTATGAAGACTATCAAGCATTGTCTAATTGGATTTAGACACGATTAAACTGGAGTGAGGCGTTATTAATCAAAGGCGAGGCACACTTAAGCAAGTTGGGGATCATATCCTATTTCCCAAAACGACACTATCTCCAACTTCCCTATATTTATTGCCTCTTTCCTCAATTTGGAATTGCAAGTCTAGGTCCAAGAGCAAAGGACTCATAACTTGGGAATCACAACGGCTTCTCGTTGTCGCACCATTCTTTTGCCATCTACCCGATTTTCATTGTTGCCTACTACAGTGCATCACAACCCATGAACTTCGTCTTTCTTCTCCAAATCCGGGTCGCCCCGTCCCTCTGTCCTGCTCTTCACCACTATCGAACACAAAACAACCACAATCCATGACTTCTTCTTTTCTTCTCTTGCTTTGGCCAACTCGACCCTTTGCCCTGCTCTTCACCATGGTCGACTGCAGAGAAGCCACAATCCATGTTTGTAGTATTGGTAGATCACTATTTTAGGAGCCTTCTTTTGTAGTATTCTTCTTTTGTTATCTGATGAGCCCATAACTCATGCAGCTCGAGGGCCCAACGCAGCCCAACAATGCTACCGCAACTACATGAAGTAGCCAGTCGAGTAGCCAGCCCATTTCAACATAAGCTTGCGGCTGTAGATCTCTTTATTTGAATAGTGTGTTAGTTGAGTAAGTCAGCATAATTAGTTGTTAGATTGTTTGAGTTGTTTACATAACCAGTGGAGTTAGTTTAGGAGTTCATGGTTAGATGAACGTGGGATTAGTTCCACAAAGTTAGGCTTTCCTTTTGGCAAACGTTGGTGTATTTATATTCATAATGGAATTAAGAATGGGTAGACAATTTTAGAGTTAAGAACCCCTGGCCATTCTCTCCAAGAAAGGAGAAACCTGGTCTACTCCCGCCAAGAAAAGGGAGCTATCCAAATCTATCTCGTATCATTTGGTATCAGAGTGGTTGATCCCGTGTTTCGATCACGATGAGCTCAGAGAGACCATCAAGAAAGGAACTCATCAATCAAGCACTCAGGCAGATAGAAAGTGTCATGGCTACCTGCAACATGCTCATTGCGACGCATGAAAAACACAGGCCAACAACAACACCACCGAGGTCGCAAGTCGAAACCCTGGTCCCCATGGGAGAGTCGGAGATTGTCGTCCCACCTGTAGCAACCGCACCGCCACTGTCGCAAGCGGAAGCTCTAGCAGAGTCTATAATGGACGAGGAAGAAGATGTTGATGGCATTGATGTCGCACTGCCTACACTGTTGATGTCGTCCGCCCCTCTTGCTGTGCCAACGAGTGTCTCCAAACCACAATCGTCGTCTGAGATCAACACATTTATTGCCGTGAAGGTGGATGCACTTCACCCAGCTCCAACCTTAGCTCAACGACAGCCCACCGCGTCACCGATTACCCCACATGTGCACGCACTAGACCTTCGATCGATTGTCGATGAACCAAAGTCACCGCTTGTATCATCAGCCAAGGCCGCTCATGTTTCACCACACCTCACCGTAAAGCAATATCATGAGGGAAAGCTGCAAATGGTTAAGGATCATCAAAAAATACAAGGGTATGTCCTTTTATTGGGTATCAAAATAATATCCATGGGTATTATTCACGTTAGAGGCCGAATAATCTATGGCAAAATAGACACTCATGGATTTAGAAAGCAACGTGAAGCATATTGGGGATTGTTTGGTGAGGATCGCCACTTTCTCTATGGGTGGAAAAGGAAAAAGGGTCAAGCCAGTACAGCTCTGACCGTAAAGGAGCGGGATGAAAATCCGCTTCTAAAAGGGAAGTTGGTTTCCCCAACGAGGAGAGAAGCCATGACTTGCACCATCGATTCTTATTATTGTGATGGAGGCTTCGGCAACAAGACATTCAAGCGCGGGGCTGAACCCACCGCCGCCACTGGAAAGGACAACGGCGAGTCCATGGAGGTCAAATCTTCCTTGCCCCGGCCGGCAAAGCGGTCAATGGTCCCCTCAGTCGACGATGGCGATAGACCAAATTTTGGGCTCCCAACGTATGACGAGGTGATCGCAGAAAGGGTCTCAGGATGGAACTGGAAGTGTTTTAGTCAGCGGCTGTTGTGCTCGACGGTTGTGAGCAAGCGAGCGACGTCGATTGAGGAGCGGCCGAACCAACTGAAAAGGGGTGAACGAGCTCAAGAAGGTGAAGGACGAACCGATTCAGCCATTTGGGTTGACTTATGGATCGAACCAACGGACAAGTATGGTTCGAGGATGGAAACGTGTCAAAGGAGGTCGTTTCCCATCGATGATGCTACCTGGAACATCCAATGGGTTTTCTATGATCGCTTCATTGAGCTCGGCCTTGAGGACAAGACCTTTTTTTCAGGGGTGGTAATGATGAGCCCATAACTCATGCAGCTCGAGGGACCAACGCAGCCCAACAACGCTACCGCAACTACATGAAGTAGCCAGTCGAGTAGCCAGCCCATTTCAACATAAGCTTGTGGCTGTAGATCTCTTTATTTGAATAGTGTGTTAGTTGAGTGAGTTAGCATAATTAGTTGTTATATTGTTTGAGTTGTTTACATAATTAGTGGACTTAGTTTAGGAGTTCATGGTTAGATGAACGTGGGATTAGTTCCACAAAGTTAGGCTTTCCTTTTGGCAAACGTTGGTGTATTTATATTCAGAATGAAATGAATAATGGGTATACAATTTCAGAGTTAAGAACTCCTGGCCATTCTCACCAAGAAAGGAGAAACCTGGTCTACTCCCGCCAAGAAAAGGGAGCTATCCAAATCTATATCGTATCATTATCCATAGAATAAAACTACTTATTCATAGGCATGAAAACAAACCAACCTTAAAACGTTCAGATCTAAACATATGAACTTTGGAGGTTTCAGTATACAATAATTCTTTTGTGGCAGGAATTTGTTATGTTTTGAATGAACCAATACAAATACTTAAATCTCACTTATAAGTCTGAACTCATATCATCCAATTCGTGTCTCCCAATCTCAGGAGTTTGAACAAATTAGATGGCAATTTCATAAATAATATTAACTAAATCAATTTAATATTGAAAATTAAAAAAAACACACTATCAACTCGTACTTAAAACTCGAACTGGTCTTGTCAACATTAACGATTAACGAATCCATATGTTAACTGTTGACATGCCTCATAGGTAAGGATCTGATGGCCCAGACATGAAAGCTTAAAGCCCATCTTATTCGGCGATTCCTTTGCCACAGCAAGTAGGCAGGCCAAGCCGTTTTAAAAAAGAGACAAAACAGAGTAGAAACGATCAACGGATAACTGAATTGGACAGCGAAACTAAGGCCCCGTTTAGTATCATTGTATTGTTGTTGTGATTGCATTGGTGTTTTGACAACAGACCTATAACAAAACAGGAAAAAAATATATAACACAAACATGTTTAGTTGATAAATCTGAAAAATCATAGAAATTGACAACAAGAAACAAAAACCCGTTTAGTTACTTTTTAGAACTAAAAACAGAGAAAGAAATATATATGTTTTCAATCTTACGTTGAATCAAATCTTGTGTATTCACCGGCCAAAATGGCAAATCTACAAACATAACAACTACACCTATATTTGCAACTTTCAATTTAACTGCTACTACTATCTATACATCCAATGGCAATCAGATCACTCTTCGAATTTTCATTAAAAAGCAAGAAACTACAAGTTCCTCCTTATCAAGCTAGCCCCGACATCAACCTCTCTTCCCATGTATGCATCATCTTCTTTTGCTGCCTTCTCCACTGCTTCGTCTCATGAGCTTCTGCAGAACAATTGTGAGACCACCAACAGATTGTCCTGCATAAGAAAAAGATACCAGCATCCCTCGCCTTGCACTTGGGTCCAATTTGAGATGATGATGTTGGTTGCTCAATATGAGATTCACAAACAAAATCACCACCCAATAACTTATTCACAAACAATCGAACAATCGATTCACATATGGATCATTCATCACCAATCAATAGCAGCTTCAAAAGAAGAAGAAAAAACCGAAGGATTGACCAAGCGCCAACAGAGGAGATGCTGGTCGGTAAGGAAATCAGGAATGTGTCTGTCGATATGGGCGTTGGGGGACTTCTCGGCAGAGAAATCGTCTAGGTGTGCGAGGGCTTGACGCGGGGAGATTTTGAAGGCGGGCGAGAGCTTGACGGCACGGGGAGGAGGAAGAAAATGGTGGTGGCGACTAGCCGGAGGGGAGCAGGCCATCCCTGTGAGAGGAAGAAGAAGATGCTGGTGGCGGAGAGGAGGTAGTCGATGGCTGCAGCTCCTGTGTTTGTTCGTCTTCGCGAGAGGACGGAGGAGATGAAAGAAGGATTGGGAGAGTTGCGGCTAGGAATGACAATAGGGCAGGTCCGAGGCGAGTATCTCGATACCCATACTCGCCCCATGGCAGGTCGGGTCCAGGTCGGGTAATTTATCATGGGGCGCGGGTCGGGGCAGGTCGACCCAATGGATATGTAATTTATGTGAAAAACATTAAAAAATATTCGTTTTTTTCATTGAAAGACCAAGAAAGAAACCATAATATGATAAAATGTAGTTAAATTGTTGAAGAAATTGAGGTTCACTTATTTACAACTTCATTATAGCTAAAATATAATGTAATAAGAGGAAAATCTTAAGTAATTTGACTAAGATTATATGTAATTTAGGCAAGAACGGGTCGAGAATGGGGCGGGTCAGGCCAGGTCGGGTCGATGAGAGGTACCCATGTCCGCCCCGCCCCAAAACAGGTCAAACAGGTTGGGTAAATCGGGTCATGTCGAAATTGCCATCCCTAGTTGTGGCGGGCCTGTCTAATCGTGGAGTAGGGTTTGGCGGTTGGAAAAAAAAGAACAAAATTTTGGTAGGAGGTAGGATTCGAACATTGAACTGTTTTAATGAAATCAGATGTGCCGCCCGTCGGAAACCCGTGTTAAACATATATATAAAAAACAGATCCAAATGCAATAAATTGTTGTTTCTCTAATTTTTGTCTGGTTGTGTAAATCTATTTCACAACAAAAATAAAAAACCCAACTAGATATGTTTTTCTCTCTCGGTTTCTACAATTTCTCAGAACACAACAGGAAACAAAAACAAGCAACAATACTAAACTAAACGGGGCTCAAGATAGGGTGCATAACCAAATCTGGACCCTTCATTTAGAAAATCCAGATCTAAGGATGGAGAATTAAAGACTATTTTTATTTTCACTAGCTTTCTTAATTGACTCATATCTTTTTCGTTTTAACTTGGATTTTAATTTTTTTTGCACAGATGAAACGAGTTCACCGTGCTCTACAAAATGAGATCAATTTTCAATATTTTTTTAGGAAAAAAAATTCTGGCCTCTCGGTACCAACTGCATACCATATGGTATCTTCTTCGTTTTTAATTCGTTTTTGAAAACGTTTGCACAGCAGGGATGAGTTCATCATGATCTACTGGATCTACAAATTTCTGGGTGAACAAATTACAGGACCAAAAAATACCATACAATACCACCCTGGTACGGGGTGGTATTGTATGGTATCTTCTTCGTTTTTAATTCGTTTTTGAAAACGTTTGCACAGAAGGGACGAGTTCATCATAATCTATTGGATCTACAAATTTCTGGGTGAACAAATTACAGGACCAAAAAATACCACACAATACCATACAATACCACCCTGGTACGGGGTGGTATTGTGTGGTATACAATGTTAAAAGTCGTAAATTACAATTAATATACTTCTACTATCATGTATTCAACCATCCTACAGTATTGGTTTGTTCATACCACCATGGTACGTTTTTCAAAACATAGGTATGCTTTTATTTCAATACCAGTCAATACCATATGATATAGGCTTGTAAAAAATGACCCAATTTTTTTTTTGTTCGAAAAATATATTAAAGTGAATATCATTTTGAAGAGCACAATTAATCTGATCTAACTGTGCAAAAAAATTAAATTTCGACTTAAAATGAGCGAGAAATCGTCCGTCAAAGATTAAAAAGGAAAAAATTAAAGGCTTTCCATGAGAGAGAGGATGCTGATGTCATGCTGATGTAGACGGATTACTCATGGTTACTCACCATAAGGTTACTGACCTGATCCATTCCCACTAAACGGGGCCTAAAAATGAAAAACAGAATCAAATCCTTCAATGCCGCCTTGGCCACACATCAACAATAAACACAAGAATAGAGAGAAGTTCCTGCCACGACTCATTTGTGCCCATATATAACTTGGAAAAAAAAATTTCAAACTGAGACTTCCTGAGATATTTTAATATACTGACCAGGCGCCATCAATGGCACCAACTAAGCCATATGAACGGACGATTCCGAGCTTCAATCTGGCCACAGATTGCGGACCAGTCCATATGCTGCCAGCACTATTAGTCAGAGACTCGATACGAATCTTACTGCAAAAACTCAAATATTGAAATGTATACTTTTTCACAGCCTATCTCTCTGATGAATCAATGTAATGTGAAAACAATCCACCATGTAAGAAAAACACAATTCCCGGCTTAACTTCCCTCTAGAAGCAAGTTACTATACACAACAACACCACCAAAACAAGGAAAAAACAGAACAAATCCCATATATGATCATCAGCAGTGATACAAACAATGTAAACCAACTCAGGCTCAGATCATCTCCCCTCGGACTTGACCAGCTGGGAGAACACCTTGCTCATCGAAGAATTCGAGATGTCGTCGATGTGCGACACTCCAAATGGTGCCACAGACACCGAGCTATCCACTTGGTTGAAGTTGTTGACCTGTGGAGAGAGATCGCCGATCATGTTCGTGCTGTTATCTTCCGGTTCTCCTGGAACGACTGCCTCCTGCAGCTGAAGAGCATACTCCAAGTTCCACAACACATCTCCCATGGAGGGCCTGTCTACACCATACTCAGCCAAGCATTTCTCGGCCGTCTCCCCAAACTTCCTCAGCGAATCCGGTCTAATTTTCCCCGCGAGAGACGAATCGATGATCTGCTCCAGCTGACCCTTCTTCTGCCACTTCATAGCCCATTCTGCCAAGTTCACCATTTCCCTAGGCAGAGTTGGATCTATCACAGGCCTTGCACATAGAACTTCGAATAGAACCACACCAAATGAATACACATCTGATTTATCCGTCAGCTGCTGCCTTCTGAAGTACTCCGGATCGAGGTACCCAAAACTACCTTTGACTGCAGTGCTAACATGGGTCTGGTCGATTTCGGGACCAGTCTTTGAGAGACCAAAATCAGCCACCTTCGCCATGAGATTCTCATCGAGCAATATGTTGGCAGATTTCACATCGCGATGAATAACTGCCTTGGCATAGCCAGTGTGGAGATAATGAAGACCTCTAGCTGCTCCAATGCAGGCCTCCA